TTTCAATATCCTGACTTTTCTGTAACATCTAAAATTGTGATCAGTACTCTGAAATTTTACTGGGCAGAAAAACTGCAGAAAGGATACTAAAGAGGCAAGAATGAGGAGGAAATTCCAGATAAAAGAGAGTTGAAAGAGGGCGTCCTCTAAATCTAAGTTTGAAGCTATACATATCCCAGACTAACTCCTGAACCACCCACCAATCACTTCTCATTATTCCAGAAATAATCACTTTCATAGTTTGATGTATATAATTTCAAGGTTTCTATATAGATATATAAGCACTATTATACACACATACATGTATATACATACAGCTTTGTTAAAATATATTCCCACATAAACATCCAAAAATATGTTAATTGTGACTTATTTCTCAATGGTAGTATTGCTGTATTTTCTAAGTTTTTACAATAAGCATGTATTATTTTTACTATAAATATTAATAAAATAAGTACAATGTTTTTAAGGAAACAAGATCTTGCTATATAACTTTCTAGAAGGATGTAAAAAGGAAAGGAAATGCAGACAATGGATGAACTTTCATGAGGAAGAATTATAGTCCCAGATCACTAAAATTAAATAATACAAAGAAAATGAACATGATAAAAGAGGGGACTGGCTGTTTACATCTACCCCAAAAGGTAAATATTTCTTCCTGTACTGCAAGTTTAAATCATGTTTTCATAGCCATGAATATGGTTTATGGTTTTTCATTTGGAGGAACAAAAGTAAATTAATCTGCTAGCTATCACACCAGTCTGAGAAAGTCAAGCCTTTGGGCTGGAATATGTGTACATACAGTTAATCTGAGATGAGATGTAAGACAATTAAAGGAAACAGAAATTTTGAACAGTTTAAACGTTTTGCTCAAAATATTATTGGTATAAAAATAAGGATAATTTGACTACCCAAATCAAGGGATATTTGAGCTGGACATAACTTCAGAAACCATGTGGACAGGGTATTCATCTTCTAGATGGGGAAACAAATATTCAAGGAAATTAAGTAGCTCGGTCTAGTCACTGAGGATCTAGTAAATGGAGGTTGGGATATGGATGTATACAAATTCCTGATCCAGAGTTCTTGCTCCTAGAACATCACTGCTGCCAGCTCTTAGAGAAGCAGAGTGGTAAATGAAAGTCAAAATAGTCTTGATGGCCAGGCGCAGTGGTTCATGCCTGTAATCTCAGCACTTTGGGAGCCCAAGGCGGGTGGATTGCTTGAGACCAGAAGCTCAAGACCAGCCTGGGCAACATGGCGAAACCCTGTCTCTACCAAAAAATACAAAAAGTAGCCACACGTGGTGGCACCCACCTGTAGGCCCAGCTACTTAAGATGATGAAGTGGGAGAATCCCTTGAGCCCAGGAGGCTGTGGTTGCAGTGAGCCAAAATCACACCATTGATCTCCAGTCTGGGCAACAGAAGTGAAAACATGTCTCAAAAAAAAAACAAAAAAACAAAAAACAAAAAGTGGAAGAGTAAAACAACTAAGGAAAATATAACAACTCTTGCTTGGGGGAAAATAAATTCTGCCACTCTCAGGAATGCAGCAGCACAAGATGGGCCAAGAAAACCAGGTCTGAGACCACAGGTTCACTTGCAGGAGCAGGTCAAGTGAGTCAAGACTAAGGACAATTATTCTAGAAAGGGGCACAAGAAGATGCATTCAGAGGGATAGGAACGCCATTGTCACACAGGCTGGTAGCCTGGATCTCAGATGAAGAATGTTACTCAGTCCCAGAAGACAGAACGTTGGCAGAGATCAAGAGGCTAGCAATTCACAAAAGCCCACATAGGAAGTAAGGCAGTGGGTACAAGGGAGTGAAGGCAGCCAAGATTCATTGATAGGAAGAGCTCACTGTGGGTCAGCCAGCTACTGAGGAAGGTCTCCTCTACTCCCTCGGGTTGCTCTGTCAACACTGAGCTCAGAGACCAAAGCAGAGGGAAATTTCTAGAGAAACAATGAAGCTGCAAAGTTATTGCAAACTCTGGCAACCTGCCATGACCTAGCTGAGCAGGGAAGCAACAGGGCTAAGGAGATAAAAGGAAATGCATGAATCTGGGTGAGGTGGCTCCAGTGGCCTTCTGCAGGAGTGACTTTCCACAGTCATAATTTGACTTGATGTATAAGAACACATGCAGTCTGCTTCCCACCATTAAGAGAAGCCAGCCAAGAATGGGTGTGATTAAATAACCTTCATGGTTGAACACAAAATGGTAAGACGCAAATCTGTGAATTACCAAATTAAGATTAGTGAGAAAAGGCCAGGCACGGTGGCTCATGCCTGTAATCCCAGCACTTTGGGAGGCTAAGGCGGGTGGATCACCCGAGGTCAGGAGTTCGAGATCAGCCTGGTCAACATGGCAAAACCCTGTCTCTACTAAAAATATGAAAAATTAGCCAGGCGTCATGGTACATGCCTATAATTCCAGCTACTTGGGAGGCTAAGGCATGAGAATCACTTGAACCTGGGAGGCAGAGGTTGCAGTGAGCCGAGGTGCCACTGCACTCCAGCCTGAGCAATAGGGAGAGACTCTGTCTCAAAAAAAAAACAAAAAACAAAAAAGGGAAAAAAGTCTCAAACTATAGGAACAAAATTATTTTTCAAGTTGCTCCATAGTTGTTAGTTTTGAACTAACAATTTGTGTCTACATTTATATGTGGTAAATTAGTTTGAAATAAGATTTTTTTTAAAAAGGTAAGAAAGCTGTACTAACATATTGTCTTAAACAAATATTCCCACAGTTTGTTTTACTGCCTCCACCAAGAGGTTCATCCTAGGGTTCCTGTTACACTCATTGGCAGCACATACAAATTTCAAAGTCAGTTATTAGAAGGCAAAGAAATCTTTTTAAATGGTAAAACTTTATATTCAGAATGATACAAGGTCAGTAAGAAGACCACACCCCACAGAAGCAGCATTTGATCAGTTTATATCCTTTTTTTAGATAGAAGTCATTTAGGTTGTGGCCAAAATGGTGCTGTGTGTATTACCCTTTCTAGGATGGTGAAGATTCATAATACTTTAAAAATCAGTAAATGTATCTAAAATGTATAAGCAAACTTCTGGTTCTGATCTAAAACATTTATCAACTTAGAAAACCTACTTGAAGTCTTCTACAGATGAACTAACAAAAAAAATTTTCCAGATACTCTATTTGTTGCAGATGAAACTTAAGCATAAGTAGTATACAAAGAACATGAGACTTGAATGGCATTCTCCACTATGGCTGGCCTCTGTTCCACTCTATCACTCACACTTATGAAGTACTATGCCCCCCAGTCTTCTCAAGGACAATAAGTCACCATTTCAAGAGATAATTAACTCTTTTGCAGACAGCAAGTCTTTATAACTATAAAGTGAACAAATTTTTTTTTATTCTCTTATCATCAGTAAAGTCTTTACTTTTTCAAAAGGACACAAGTTTAATAAATTCTGTGATGTCCTGGGATATCTAAAAAGAAACCTCAGAGCTTTTAGGAAACTATTTTGCACAATACTTTTGTTATAAGAAAGTTATGTCCTGAACACTTAATAATGAACACATTTGGAATTTCAGTGGTTATTATTTCAGGTCCCTACATAATTTTAAATATACTGGCTACTATTACTTCCAAGTAAGGAAAAAAATATTTCTGTGTTGATTCCTAAATAAGAGCTTACAATATTTAAACAATTTTTTAACATTTTTTTTGAGACGGAGTCTCTCACTCTGTTGCCCAGGCTGGAGTGCAGTGGCGTGATCCCGGCTCACTGCAAGCTCCGCCTCCTGGGTTCACGTCATTCTCCTGCCTCAGCCTCCCGAATACCTGGGACTACAGGTGCCCACCACCACGCCTGGCTAATTTTTTTGTATTTTTAGTAGAGATGGGGTTTCACCGTGTTAGCCAGGATGGTCTCAATCTCCTGACCTCGTGATCCGCCCATCTTGGCCTCCCAAAGTGGTGGGATTACAGGCTTGAGCCACCACGCCCAGCCTTTTTTTGGGGGGGAGGGGGATGGAGTCTCACTCTGTCACCCAGGCTGGAGTGCAGTGGTATGATCACAGCTCACTGCAACCTCTGCCTCCCAGGTTCACGCAATTCTCCTGCCTGAGCCTCTCAAGTAGCTGGGACTACAGGGGCGCACCACTATACCCAGGTCATTTTTTGTATTTTTAGTAGAAACGGGGTTTCACCGTGTTAGCCAGGATGGTCTCGATCTCCTGAACCTCGTGATCTGTCCGCCTCAGCCTCCCAAAGTGCTGGGATTACAAGTGTGAGTCACTGCACCGGGCCCAAAATTATCTAGATTTATAAATCAATTCAATAACTTAAAATTTAAAAATACTTAAATATCTATTTTGAATGGGTAGAATTTGTGTGGAGCAGGAGTTGTTTTTTGTTACTAAATCACTTCAAATAACTTGTTTGGGTTTTTTACTTTCTGGAAGATTTCAGTTAGCTATCAAATTGATTTAGTCTTACCTCATGTCCTTAAATCAATCCCCTATTTAAATTATAATTTGAATCATTCACATACTTATACTATGAAATATCCATATATTTTTAAATGAGGGTTTGTCTTTCTTTTTTTTTTTAAGACAGAGTTTCACTCTGTCATCCACGCTGGAGTGCAGTGGCCTGACCTCGGCTCACTGCAACCTCTGCCTCCCGGGTTCAACCTCTTCTCAGCCTCCTGAGTAGCTTGGACTACAGGCACACACCACCATGCCCAGCTAATTTTTGTGTTTTTAGTAGAGAGGGGTTTCGCCGTGTTGGTCAGGCTGGTCTTGAACTCCTGACTTCAGATGATCCACCCGCCTTGGCCTCCCAAAGTGCTGGGATTACAGGCGTGAGCCACCTCACCCAGCCAGAGGTTTGTCTTTCAAAAAGTGAAGGGTTCATATTTTCAGTGCAGAATAAAATAATAACTTCATGAGGTGAGATTATAAAATTGAGGTCAAAACCACAATATATTTCTTAAACTATAAAAAGAAATCACTTAAACAAGACCTTTCAAGAGATTTTGGAGGCTTGGATAACTCTTCATACACGAATATAAGTTTTTGTTGTTTCAATCTTTTCTTCCATTTCATCTTCTTTTTCTTGGGATAAACAATGTAACTAATGCCAGCTTTTTTAGATGCTTCAATGAGAGTCAAAGAGAGATTTCTCAAACTGTGTTTTTCGCACATGTTATCAAAGATGTCATCTATATTTTTTTTCACAGGGATGGGTTCTTCAGTTTTATTTTGCTTAGTGAGCTGGAGCTGACGTTTCAATTCCTTTGTTTTCTGAAACATAACCTCTTTTATACTGCTTTGCATATCATTCTTGATTTCCAAAGGAGCTATGATATCCTCCTTCCTCAAGTCTACAGCAGATTTTACTTGCTTAGTTAAGCAAGCAAAGAGGTAGAAAAAGTGTAAAATCAATTTAGTTGCTATGCATTCAAAATTAATTAATTCTGTTACAATTACTATTAATGTGGTTTGGTCACTTAATTTAAAAGTTTAAAAATCAGTATTCTTAAAATTATTCAAAAGTCAGCTGATAAAGTTAATAGTGGGTTAGTTCAAGCAAAGTACAATAATTTGGTTGGTCATAGGATGTTTAATTAGGTATATGTAAACAACACTATAAATTAGATAGCATTATGATTTTCTATATTTTAATTGAAAGAGAATGCTCTCTACATATCCAAATAAATTACATGTTGTACTTTTATATTTAATGCAAAAAAACTAGTAGAATGGGCAAAAGCTGTTAAAATGCCTTATTCCATAAAAATCAATTTGGGTTTTCTTTCAAAAGCGCTTTAACAACACTGAATTTCTACACAGTACCATTCAAATATTCTCCACAATAACTTTCAATTCTATATTTATAATAGGAAGTAATAAAATCACAATCTATTACAGTATTTATTTTATCTAATCATTAGAGAATCCACTTAATTGTTAATAATAGTATTATTTAATATTATAATATTAATAATTATAATTTTAATAATTATGCATTAATACCTGAAACTCTAATACTCATTACTTACAAAAGATAAATTACTTTAAATCCTTTGATATAGCATTTCCTGCCTATTGAGCCATCATCAATAAGTTAAATGCATTTCATTTGCTAATAAATAATTTGTTACAGAGATGTATTTCTGTATAGTGAATTTTGGCCCAAATTTCAAACATAATAATTTCATACTAGCCAGTTACATACTTTTATATACTAAAGTACAATAGAGATATTGACCATCTGCAACTTACTGTACTCCCCCATCTCAAGAAACTATATAAAACTCAATATGTAATTAGACTAGAGAATATAATATAGAAGTATATGCTTTTAAAAAAAACCATAAGGTGATTATTATTCCTAGGAATACACATGTTTCTTCTAGAGAGTAAAAACTATAAAATTATAATACCCTTAGTTGTGTAGGTTGTGCACTAAACCATTTTTGGATATTTTCAAATGATGCAGATTTTCTTGATAAGAAACACTGTGAAATAATCAAATGAAAAATATACATTAGCCACAAATACTATTTGGTAAGCTAAAATATATAACCCTTGGCTAATAACTGTTTAGGTAAATTAATGAAATTCAGAAATACTAATTAAAATACAGATACTGAGTTTGAAGTCACTGACTTTATACAGAGGAAGAGAACTTAAAATCTATCAATTAATGTAGAAGAGTGTATAATAATAAAAACTATCTTGTTTTTTTAAAATTCAACTTGATATAACAAACACCAATTACCTGCTATGTACAAGGTAGGACAGTGCAAAGCTACCCAGCTGGTGTAGGTGGCACTGGTGTGTGTGAATGTATGACAGATACGCTAAGCCATGAATCCCCTTCACCCTGGGGCTGCTTTAGTGGGAGCCCCTGGATAGTCTCCTCTAATCATGAGCAATCTCAACCTTATAGTTCAGGAAACCACGCAAGTGTTACCACTTACTATAATAACACCCAGACTGGTGTTATTATATTAAGAGTTGGAAAGCTCTACTAAACTAGACTGCAAAATACAAAGAAAATGGCACGTTCCATATCCTTAAGCATAATAATGATGCAAACAGTAATAAAGAAATATCTAGGCCAGATCCAGTGGCTTACACCTGCAATCCCAACAGTTTGGGAGGCTGAGGCAGGAGGATCACTTAAGCCTAGGAATTTTGAGACCAGTCTGGGCAACATAGTGAGACCCCATTTCTAAAAAAATAAAAAAATAAAAAAAACTAGCTGTATATAGTAGTGTGCACTTGTAGTCCCAGATACTCAAGAGGCTGAGGTGGGAGAATCACTTGAGCCCGGGAGGTCCAGGCTGCAGTAAGCCACGATTTTACCACTATACTCAAGCCTGGTAGACAGAGTGAGATTTTGTCTCAAAAAAAAAAAAAAAAAAAAAGGACTATATTAGGCACTAGTGAGAGAAAAATAAAACCATGTCCTAATTGTACCCCATAAAGGTCAGGTCATTGGATACACTGCAGTTAGTTATACTAAAAGTCATGACTATGCATCTGATCACCATTTAAAGTGATCAGTCTTACTGTGTTTCATGGCCACAAACAGTTTCTCCATTTAGTCAAAGACTCATATACATGTTCCTTTGATATTGAAGACCTATGCAAGAATGACTGAAAAAACTAGAAGTGTTAGAAAAACTCACAACAAATATCCTGCTATTGTTTAGTGAATAACATCTTCTAACAGTCATAAAAACAGCATATTTGAGAAAGTAGAAATGTATCTTCAGTAAAGATAGCACTGAATGGTCTGAGCCATTTCCCAGAATGAGGAAGTACCAAGAAAAAAAAATTTTTTTTTGAGACAGTCTCCCCCTGTTGCCCTTGATCTCCCATGCTCAAGCCATCTTCCCACCTCAGCCTCTTAAGTAGCTGAGATACAGGCACATGCCACCACATCCAGCTCATTTTTTCGTTTTTTTACTAGAGATGGGGTTTCACCATATTGGCCAGGCTGGTCTCGAACTCCTGGCCTCAAATGATCTGCCCACCTCAGACTCCCAAAATGCTGGGATTTACAGGCATGAGCCACCATGCCCGGACCCAAGAAATAATTTCTGGAATTACCATAATTAATATCTGGACTGTAGGCAGATATACTAAACAATCTTAATTAAGAACAAAAATTGTACATACCCAAAAATTTGTTCTGCTATGTCGACGAAAAGTAATGGCACTGCTTTTATATGAAAATTTATCAGTTAAAAGTCTGCTTGCTTGAACACTCTGTGATAAAAAGATAACAATTTTAAATTATGTTTTGGAATACTTTTTAAAAGCCTACGATGACTGTTACTTCACAGTACAACATTATTAACAAAAGAGAAAACATATGAAAGTAGTGTAATTCTAGAAAACACCAGAGATGCATCAAAGTCCAGCTACAGCCATAGTATTTGGCTAAAACCTGCAATTTGGCTTCAGTGTTGGCATTTAGCAAAATGGTTACTTCTACATTATTTCTGACATCCTTAATCTTAGGAGTGATCAATGATCCTATGATCTCACAGGTTAACATTGAATTTATGTAGCATATTAATATTAGGATTATGAACAAAACATTATCTAGTTTGCTTGTCAACATATGAACATTCATTTTTAAATACAAACAATCATTCTAAATGTAAACTGGAATGAAATTTGCCTTAAGTGCTTTATGCTTTGAATTCTATCGGTTAAGTATGTAGATATATTTATTGTTGTAAGAGTAAACTGCCACAATAATTAATGTTATTATTAAATGTGCTACTTCTCTATCTTGTAATCAGTGGTTTGGATATGCAGAAACCTAGAAGACCTAAATTTGACAGCTGGGTGGATTAATGATTAATTAAATCATACTACTACTTTGTTTTTTGAAATTGTTAGGTCTTGAACACTAACATTAAAATTTTTTTAATATTTATTGAACAAAAAGTCAGATTTTAAAAATATTATGTAATTATTACTGACAATGGAGAAGGCTATGGGTAACTTAGGAATCACCAAGCATTGAATTTTTGCTAAAAATCCTCTCAAGTTATATTTTCAGAAAGTAGTGATAGTACAATGTATGGTAAGATAATTACCGGACATAATAGAAAGATACTGGTCACTTTCATCATTATTCTTTAAAAACAAACTACATGGTATACCAGGTATTTTCAAACCATTTTGTCATATGCTTACACAAGATATTGAAATATGATGGAATAGCAGATATTACATATTTAAAAGAATGCTTTTAACAACAATAAGGACAACAACCTTAGTACCATGCTTCATAGATATCAAAACTTCGGAACTTATTAACAATCAATGGTTACTTATTTTTAAAAAGGAACCTATATGCTGGAGCCTTGGAAACTGTCAAAATAAAGCCCAAACGAAGGTATCTTGAGAGGGCACTTACAGTGTTGCTTATGTGATATCCAATGGAAAAAAAAAAGTCTCCCTACTCTACCTCAAAGATATTGTTGAAATTGGTATGCATGCAATAAAAGCTGGGATGCAAAGAGAAATGGAAACAGTTTCTTTAAAAGTCAATAATGACTTCTGCTTCTAATTATGTAACATTAGGAACTCTGCTGAGGACAACTGAGAGCTACATACAATTTGAAAAACAATGGTCAAACCATCAGAGAGCTAGCAAAATGAAAAGATGAGCCAAAATCTGAGAAAAAAACAAGGACCAGAAAAAGTAAGCCTACTATTCAAAGATGCTTTGTTCTCAGAATGTTTGCCAAAACAACTATAACTCTGAGTTGCAGAGTTGGCAATTTCTTGGGGCAAGGGTGACAAAAATCAAAGTCCAGAATCTACCTGAGATGTGGAGCCTGATAACACATCCCAATTATATATAAACTGGAATACCACAGGGGTACACCCTCAGATTAAAAGTGGGTGGAAATAATCAACTTTTTTGTGGACTTTCAATCTGGGCTCTATCACGAGGGTAGTCAGAGAAACTCAAGCCTCAACTTTAGATTAAAGCTGTTTCTAAATGGTAAAGACCTCAGGTTCTAACAAAAATGTCCTTTGGAGCAAGAAAATGCCATAATGCCATTCTAAGTCTCAAATGTTTCCTTAAAATCATGTTTTAAATACAATGATAAGCAAACATGTAAAGACAGACAGGTATACAAACAAACGAAACACCATAACATAACAGATTTAAGGAAAAATAGAAATACTAAAAAGAACCATATAAAAAACAAGTTTAACAGTATATTATACACAACTAAAGAGAGAAATTCGTGGACCTCACCGATAACATAGGTTAGAAGAAATTGTCCAGAATCCAATACCAAGCACAAGAGAGGAAAAAAAAAAAAGGTACCTATTACATGTGATTAAAATCCTAGAAAATGAAATAGAGAATGGATAGAGATTACTAAAAATTTTCCATAGCTAATGAAAGATGTCAACTACAAACTCAAAGGATTTCAATATGTGATAAATAAAAAGAAATATACACCTAGACACATCATAGTGAAACTATAGGAAATGCAAATGAAAAACTTAAAACCGGCCAGGTTTAGTAGAAGCAGAAAATGCATTAGCTTCAAAGTCTTTACATTTAAGACTTACTTCTCAACAGCAATAATGAATGCCAGAAAATAATGGAACATCACTATTGTGTTAAAACATCTGCCAATATATTATACTCAGATAAAATATTCCTCAAGAATGAAACAATATGAAGACATTTTGAAACTAAGAAAAACCAGGGATTTCACCAACTGCAGACCTTCTACCCCTCCTCTTAAAAGAAATTCTATAGGATACAATTTAAGCAGAGGGTAAAATGATTCCAGATATAAGTGTCTGAGAGGCGAGGAAAAAAAAAGAAAAGCAAAAAAAAAAGAGATAAATATATGGGTAAAATTTAAGGTATATTACATAAAATGAAAATTTAGTTTGGACTTTAAAAGCTAAGGATCAAAGCAAGAGCATAAGTCAAGAAAGGGTAAACGGAATGAAAGGATTCTGAAGTCACTGTATTTTCCTGGAGGAGTATAAAGGTATTAATGTATATTAGATAGCAATAAGTTAAAGATGCATATTCTAGGGAAACTGCCACAGGAATAAGAAAAACATACCGTTGACCCTTGAATAACATGGGTTTGAACTTCACGGGTTCAGAAAATCTACTTATTTACAGATTTCCTTCTGCCTCTGCTACCCCTGTAACAGCAAAAACAACCTCTCTTCTTCCTCTGCCTCAGCCTAATCAGTATAAAGACAACCAAGTGAAGACCTTTATGATCATCTACTTCCACTTAACTAACAGTAAATATATTTTCTCTTCCTTATAATCTTCTTAATACCATTTTCTTTTTTCTAGCTTACTTCATTGTAAGAATGCAGTACATAATACATATAACATATAAAATATGTGTTAATTGACTGTTTATCAGTAATGCTTCCAGTAAACAATAAGCTATTTGTAGTTAAGTTTTTGGAAAGTTGAAAGCTACACATGAACTTTCAACGGTGCAGGGATTGGCACCCCCAACCCTCACATTGTTCAAGGATCAATTATATATAACTTTTACAACAGAAATGATAAAACACAATACACCCAAATAATTGGCAAAAATTAAGCATACAATGGGTAAGAAAATAAAAATAACAATGAAAAGTGGACGTAAATTTTAAATAGGCCCAATTAAAAAACAAAAAAAAATCCAAATCTATTTAATTGTTTTCCTCTAATCACATGTTGTTTACAAAAGACACATCTAAAATATAAGAATACAGAAAGGTTATGTGTAAGGGAACAAATATTTAATAAAGGAAAATTGTTATCAATGCATTAATAATAAAGATAGACTCTAAGGTAAAAGTGTTTACTAAAATAAAGTAGCTCAGTTCATTACTGAAAGTTTTGACTCACAAACAATGTTTAACAATTCTTCATTTGTATGCATCTAATAACATGGCCCCAAAATATATAAAGTAAAAATTGACAATATTACAGAAAAATATAGACAAATCTACACCACAGTGGCAGATTTAAACACCCAGCTGAGGTTGAACAAAATGTCATTCTGCCTTCTTGTTTTAGCTCTCGTACTGTAAAGAAGTTTCCTTTTCATGGCCTATTTAGTGTCGTGTTTTTCACATTTTTGTGCTTTTGATTTGTGATTTTGCTCTTTAAAATGGTCCCCAGTATAGTGCTGAAGTGCTGGCTAGCGTTCCTAAGTGCAAGAAGCCTGCAAGTACATTACAGAGAAAATAAATGTGTTACATAAGCTTCTTTCAGGCGTGAGTTATAGTGCTGTCGGCTATGACTTCAGTAGTAATGAATCAAAAATATATATTAAATAAGGTGTTTTTAAATAGAAAACCTCATAAAGCAAGGTTATGTATTGATCAGCTGATGAAAACCAGAGGCTCACAGGACCCTCGCCTTCTACTTCCCCTAAGGGCAACAGTTCAATATCAAGTAATTCAGTGCTTGAGGTGACTTTATGGAACATAACTACCACAAATGACAAGAATCCACTGTACATGTTTACTGTATCTGTACCTCACACCAAAATGTAAGCTCCATGAAATTAGTGACCTTGAATTTTCATTGCTGCAGCTCCAGCCTCTAGAACAGTGACTCAAACATAGAGGTGACTGGCATGTATTTATCTGATGAATGAATGAAAAAATGACATGTAAAAAGACTCACGTCTTCATTTTAAACAAGACCAAGAAATTCCAAGTGGGATGAATGAGAACTACAGTGTCTGAATACTTATTATCAACACTGGATGCTGCCTGGCAAGTAATTAGAACAATAGAATTTTATGCCACATCAAATTGGAATGCAAGAGGCACAGGAAAATAAATATACATCCACAAATACAAGTACTCCAAAATTTACCACCCACAAATCTTTCTGGAAAGAATTAGTCAAAAATATAATCAGGAAAACAAAAATGATTAGAAGAAAGGAAATGATATAAGACAAGAAATTGTGGAAAGAAAATTAAGTCAGAAAAACAGCTAAATCTATGTAATTGTTGATGCACAGAGTGAACACTGAAATTATCAGGATCAAAAATATTTAATGGTCTCAAATGTGGCAGATGGCAGATGGGAGTAAAGTGAAACATTTTAAAGTCTTAATCCTTCATAGAAAGGATATAGATTCTGATTGACTCTTGATGTGTTTAAATACATGCCAGATATTTTTAAATAACCATGAAAATGTAAAATCATGAGTATATTATATCCAGACTACTGAATTT